GGCAGTGGAACATTGGGCAAGGATGGAAGTAACTTGATTTGATAGCTCCACAAATGGGCCTACTAACAAAAAACAGGGTGAGAGATACCCTTATGGGCTGAGGAAGATGTTAGGCACTAATCCCTCATGAAATTAGTGATGAGTAGTGGAGGAAAAGTAAATGAGTCTCCAATCCATGTAGAGAAAGAATGTCCTATGAGGCTGAAATTGGTGAGACTCAGGAAATCCTGGCCAAAGCAGTATGGTAATATGGAAAGAGTTCCAAGTGTCACCATATGAGTCATCATCGATTCAGTGGGAAATATAACTAATCCAATAGGATTTGACTTATTTCCCATGGCCCTTTGCTCTCTCGGGACATTGTATGATAGAAGGATTTGACTATATGGTAACTAGATGTGCAAAGGGTCAAACTGCCAAATTCAAGTTGTTAAGTAACCATGACATACTGCTAGGTGTCATTCATGCTTTGTGGAACCCCTAAAATAATGATTAATTGTTCACATTCAAGGGAGAGTTAAAAAAAGTTTCTAATTTAATTTAGCTAAAAGGAGTTCCATCTGGGATGTTGAAGGAGTTCGACATCATTTGCCACTACCTAATAGCATTAAACCTAAGAGGTCACACACATTAAGGGACAAAACATAAAAGAGTATAGAGGTAATAGAGGACAGGAGGAGGGTCTGCTCACTAAGAGAAGTCTTAGTGGAGGGACCTAATTGTAAATAGGAACTAACTGTAATTTGGGGAATTTATTAGATAAATCCTCTCCTAATTAGAAAAGGAGCACAAACTATATGAAATAAGAAAAGAGGCGGTCTTGGGATAGAGAACACTCCCATCTGCTAAACCCCAATTCCAAAAAGCCTACTAGCACACTCTTGGAGCCACACAACCCTCTCTCTCCCTCTCTTCTCTCTCACCTAGATCATGATTTACCTGTGAGAATTAAGAATTTTGTTTGCTACTACTTCGTGTGAATCAATCTTGGAGGCCAAACCAATGATTTTAAAGGCACGCCTCTAGGTGGATAGGCAAGGCACATTTTAGGGTTGGCGCCTCACCTAGGTCCTAGGCGCAACCCTTTCAAAAGGCACACGCCTGATGCGCCTAGACATGTACCTTTTTAAATTTCCCACTATTTTGCTTTTTTTGAATCTAGCAGCTAGGCCAAGGGTTCACTCACTCACCGAAGCTCTGAGAACCCCCTATTTGCTAATGTTGTTCATTCATTCATTCTAATAAAATATCTTCCTAAAAGGAAATTAAAGTTATAAAATCATTATTTTTTATGTGAGAATTAAGAATTTAAGAGATTGTGGGTTTGCCTCGAGGGACATGGTACAAAGGTGGCTCATAGAATCAAGAATGCAATATGTTTTACATCACAAGAGCTGCTTGAAGTAACGCAATTGAGGAAAAAAAGAGATTGTGGGTTTGAATGCTTTAAAATGCTTTATATGTTTGATTTTATTTTTAAATTTTCATTTGAATACGCTTTACATGTTATGTTTATGTATTCTAATTTTAGATAATAGATTTTTTAAAACATTTATTTTAAAATTTAAGTTTATATTTTTATTAATATTATGTTTAATATTTTTTTAAATTGTTGGTTTTAGCATTTTTTATTTTTGTGCCTTGCTTCAAAAAGGTGTGCACCTCGCCTTGCGCCTTGCGCCTTGCGCCTTGCACCTCGAGTTCAAAGTTTACTGAGGATATGCTTCAAGAAATTGAATCTACCTAAAAGGTATGCAATGAATTGTTTTTTTTTTATGAGTATGCAATTAATTGTTTTAAAACTATGATTTTGTGTACCACCATGGACATGATCTTGGTTGAATCAAGATTCTTGCTAGTTTTAATTTCCCACTACAATTATTTAGAGAACCACAAGAAGTCTTTCATCTAAAACAAAACGGATGAAGGCAAAGGCATGAATCCAAAAAGTAACAAAAGAACGTAAAAAGGATTTAAAGGATAGCACTTAATAAGAAATACAACCATGAATAGAATGGAATACAAAAACATGATTTGGAAGCAACCCAAACTATCTGACATGGCCCAACTTTTCTAATCAATAATTATAACCAGAAGAGTGTTCATTGATAATCAGAGAAAGTAAAAGCTCCTAAGTTCCAAAAGATTAGGCTGAAGGAGACAACCACACAGCTCAAGGCTGATTCATCATGAATACAAACATCTCAGTATCTCACAAGTTCTCCTAGATTTGCACCCCAGTCCTAGAGCCCTCCAATCTAACACCACCTTACCAGAGCCCTCACTAGCAACCAATGTAGACAAATAAATAAAGCTTTAAGATAACTTTGTGGTCATTTGACTAGTCAACCTAGTCAATGCTTAGTCATCCTTGGCAACTCCACTATAAGACCAACTAGTTAATGATGCAGTTCGTCTAGCCCTCAACTGATTTGTCGTTCAAATCATTAATGCTTTGATAACATAGCTAGCAAGTGAACTAGCCATGTCAGTGGCCTATCTAAGAGTTCACTTAAATGATCTCTTCAACCTATTAACTAATACCTTAGCTTCTTTATGCTTCTAGGGCCCTAGGGACATCCAAAACTTGTGGACATCCACTCATAAGAAAGTCAATGTTAGGTCTTAAAGTAAAGCAAGCAAGAAGATCAGATCTTAGAGATTTGCCTTAACAAGTTGCTCAAAGCCACTTTACCTTGTGTGGTCTCTACACCTCCTGCTTCAGAGGGACCTGGATTTCCTAAGGAACATCCATCACAGTTCATCTTAATTTTTTCAAAAAAAAAAAAAAATGGTGCAGTGAGGCAGTCATACATCAATAAATTGATTTCTCTGAAGAATGTGATCTGCATCAACATACCAGCCCCTTGAGAATTGAATTCATAGAGATCCCTTAAATTACTCTCCAGTGAAGAACCCAATTGACCACTTTCGCCAGTCACCATGACCAATCCAATGATTAAGGCATCATTTGGCAAGTCTATATGGTGTGTCTTTTCATCTACGGATAGATAAAAAGATGAAAAATGGTCTACTGTCATTTGGGAACTAGTAGCCAGTAGCCCAATAGCTGGTCAGTTTTGAAAGCCAAAAATTGTCTTTTTCGAGAAGGCTTTATTTGAAGATTCTCATCTTTCCTATGGCTCAGGTCTACTTGAGATAGACCAGTACGTCTACGTGTGTAAGTTGCACATGTTCTCAGTCCTCAAAATAGGGGTCTCTCAATCAATCTTCATTTCCTTAGAACACATCCATTAGAGCTCTACTACTGCTAAACCTCCATTAGCAGAGACCATGGAACCTTCAACCTCACTGTCAATGAGCTAGATCAAATGTTGATACATTTAAATCTCACTGTTTTCCATCTCTTCATTTTCTTTTTTCATTTCTTTCGTTTTTCTCCTTTCTTCCTTTCTTTACTCTTCTTCTTCCCCTTCTTTCTCCACCACTGATTTTAGTTTGTTTCAAGTGGTCATTTCATCATCCGATGATCTTCCCATCAAGTTACAACTCCATCCTCTCCCCTTTGCACATGTCAAGATGGGGTTTGTTTGCTTTGGATGCATTCTTATCATTGCATTTAGGGTTTATGCCATTTGGGTTTATGGTTTAATCTATTTGGTTGGGGTTTATGCTTTAACTAATTTCTATCTTCATTATAACATCGTATTTCTTTTCATTGCTATTGTAATGTGTTCTGTTTCTACTTCACCATGGATGACTATTCATTATTGGCCTCTGTTATGAAGTAGCATATATCATCAAATAGCCTATAACATATTGTTTCATGGAATGATTCTTGATGATTGATTATGAGTTGTCTATCATTGAATGATTTATCACATACACATTTTTCTTGGAATGGTTCGTGATGGTTATGAATGGTCTCTGTCATTGAAATGATCTCTGTCACTATTCATTATTGTTTCTTGGAATGGTCTCTATCATTGGATGGTCTCTGTTTGAAAAATGGTCCTTGATGATGGATTATGAATGGTATCTGTTTGAGCAATGTTTTGCAGGTTCTGGATGTTAGTGGGCCCACACATCCCATTCCTGTGATTCTAGATGTTGGTGGGCCCACATTGTTGTGTTTTGCAGGTTAGGTGTTAGTGGGGCCCTCACATCCCATTTCTGTGATTATGGATGTTAGTGGGCCTGCATTGTTGTGTTTTGCAGGTTCTAGGTGTTGGTGGAGCCCACACATCCCATTTCTACAATTGTGGATGTTGGTGGGCCCACATTGTTGTGTTTTGTAGGTTCTGGTTGTTAGTGGGGCCCACACATCCCATTTCTATGTGGGTGGTATTGGGCCCCACACTATTTTCTGAAATATGCATATATTGTTTTGAATTTTTACATGTTCACAGATGACACAATGTTTTGGCACATGTGGATCAACTTGGCTCATGTGAAAGCCATGCTTACCAAAAAATCTTTAGTTCTTTCCATGTGCTGAGAAGATTTGTCAAAAATAGTGATAACAACATAGTTATTGGTCTGCAAAGACCAGCTCCAAAAATCCCAATGCATCTTTTGATCTACTGGGCTTTAGGAAGATCTTCCAAAACAGACTTGCCAAACAACGCCTAAAAATCCTCTTGCTTTCTATTTTTTAGAGRAAACCTCTTACTTTCTAGTGCTGGAAATTATATTTTTTTGAGACAAAACCACTTGCTTTCTAGTGTTGGAAATTCTGGAATTTCATTCTTTCATTTCACTCTCATAATGACCAGATAAAGATCTAGATTTTCTTTCTTCTTTTTATTTTTGTGTATCAGCATTCACAAAGCTTATATTATTTAGATGAATATGAATTTGATAAAACACAGTTTTTAACAAAACAATACATACTCCATCATCTCTCATCATTGTATTCTAATCTAACATAATACTGATAATGGGGGAGGTGTACCTCTTTCATTAGATCACAAAAAGCTGATAAGATACAATCGGAAGATGGAATACGATTATATTAAAAAATAGGGAAAAAAAAGAACTAAAAAATCCAATAAAAGGCAAATAGCTACATTTTTAAAGCAACAAAAAACATAAGCCCGAACCTTCTCAATCCATAACCTCATAAAAGAGCTACAGGTCATTAAACCATAAATTACATGAAATTATTTGCATAAAAAAATTACATGAAATTAGTCCAGAAATCTATTAGTTTATAGAAATATGGTCCAGGAATCCATACATACACACAAATGGGTAATAAAAAAGAAAAAGAGCAATCCAGACCATATATCATCAAAAGCACGCTAAACCCGTGAACAAAAACCGTTTCTTTTTTTTCCACTTCAGAGGGATGGAGAAAACAAGAACCCTAAATTCATACCATCGAGAGATCTACTTATCTTTGGTAGATACTCCATACTTCTCCTGCATCTTAGCAATCTCGTCCTCCTTCTTCTTTTGATCAACCTTCTTGCTCATCTTGGCCTGCTGGTAATACAACACGATCAGATACCGGTTAGCAACATTGAAGCCCGACAGGTGATCGACGGCCGTCTTGGCATCGTAGATGTCTTCGTAGACAACAAAGGCCGTTCCCCTGGTATCCTTGTTTGTACCAATACGTATCTGCCTTATCGCACCGTACTTGCCGAATATATCGTACATCTCCTCGCTGGAAATGTTGAAGGGAAGGTTTCGGACGTAAAGAACTCTATTCACTTCCGGCGGGAGACGGGCGTTTCCCTTTCGAAGGCTGATTGTCGCCATTCCTAAGGTTTCAATTCAAGAACAAAGAAAACTAGGGTTTTGGATGAAAAATTAGGGTTTAATTGAAAAAAGTAGGGCACAAGTTGCAGGCAGAAAGGGAGTTTTGACTCGCCTTCTGTGGCTAGTATTTGCGCAGCTTGCGCTGGAAGAGATGGGGAGGAAAGGAAGAATGTATTGAGGGTGGTGATTTTTCGGGAAAATTCCCGATTAGTATACTGTACGTTGGGTTTAGTATTATTTTGGTCTTCGAATTTTAAAACGCCACAGTTCAGTATCCGAAGTCTCAAAATTATCTATGATATGTGAAAATACATAAATTATCTATGATACGTTGCGTTTAGTATTATTTTCGGGAAAATTCCCGATTAGTATATTGTACGTTGGGTTTAAATCATCCGATAAATGTATAATCGATGAATTAAAAACATAAGAAACGCATGCCCAACACTTAATAGATATATAACGAAATAGATGAGTGAACTAATGAGGGGTAATTTGGTCCTCTAAGGACCTCATGATGCGTGACATCACAGAACAGCTGGGTGACACCTCGGCACCATGTAAGTAGACCACTTCGGGCACTTCGCAATTCTATCAATGACCTTGGCACTACCCTGGTAAGTTGAACTGCGAACAACTAGGCAGGACCTCAGGTTAGTTAAGAGGCGACATGTTTCCATCGAACTGCTCTAACCCCGGTTAGAGAGCTGCCTGATGTACGTAGTGTTAGACAGTTTTGTATGCCCTTAGCTTCAATCAGAATTATGTTTCCATCGAACAACTAGGCAGGACCTTAGCTTCAATCAGAATGATGTACTTTATGGAAACCAAGACTACCGGCAGCCGATTTCAACCGTTGAGATTTGTTTTGCAAAATATATTTTATATAAGATATAAAAGTATATATGTATGGTTTCTAAATTGTTTGCAAGAAGGTTTTAATTCCCGG